GAGAGACACCAGGCCAATTATGGTTTTCCCTATAGAAACTAGAACAATCCTACCTTTTCACAGGTGTTCTACAGGGATGAGAATTACGAGGTAGATGCCACCTTTATTCAGGCTTTCATCACTGTCTAGGGCACTGGTGTAGAAACTGCAGTGTCAGACAGGGGCAGAAGGTAGCCACTGTTGACCAGCTGCTCATTTCATAGCAGCACATTCGGAATTCCTGTTGAACGTTTCTTTTGAAAGGTAATTTAGAAGCATCCATAAAACAACAATGAAAGCAAGGACAAGTGTAGTTTGAGACTCACCTATCACCACTCAAAATAGCAATAAACTTGGCAACTTATTTTGCTTTTAGCAGTCTACAAAAATAATTAAGTGTAAGCTAAGAAACTCTGAAAATATTTCACCTTATACATATGCATGCTCATATTAACAAAACTCCATGTTGTATATAATGCCAACCCTATTTACCTTTAATGCAGTACACACTGTCTCTTAATTGTTTCTACAACAGACCTTTCCAATGTTGGAGCTGCATAATTAAAGAAAGCAATAACTTAAGAAGAAAGTAGTGACTACTGGAAAGCTGATGGCAAGATTAGCATGATATCACAACCCTGCGTTCACAAACTGAACAAATCAGAACAAATCAGAACGCATCTACTTTACCTTCTTAGCGTGCCACTGCATATAATAGTAAATGTATTTCTTCATACTAATACTTGGGTAATAGAGAAAACTTGCTTTGCTAAATGCAGTCTTTCAATAAATATATATTTTTGTAATTTCTTGTCCTTGATATGGCAACCAAATACTATGTAGATACAATTTTAGTGCTAAATTCAGTAGTCTTCTTAAGCTACTAACTGCGAACATTTCGATACAGAACAGTTTTCCTTTCTCACAGACTAGAGATTCACCTAGTTTGCCACATTATAAAAAGTCTAAGAAATACATTCTCTCCAATGCTGCACCCAACCAACTTCTGTTATCGCTGTCTGCTGCTGAAAGAGAACCCAGAACTGGAGGATCACTTTACTCCAATGACTCCTGCCCTGGTGGCATGATATAGGTAAAAACAAACCTGGGCTTCCAATGGGTACCTTAGCTTTCACTAGGTTCCACAGAGACATGCTATTGGTTAGGAATTAGCCAAACATTCCTGAAGTCATGATTGTAATTGATGTGTCTGAGGGAATCTTATCAATACATCAATCACCTAGGTCTGGTGACTGCATCCCATCTGTGTCCCATTCCCAACGTCTCTTCTACTTCCTGTTCTCCTGCAAACATGTGGTAAGCCAGATATAGAACAAAGATCACAACTCAACTTCACAGTGCTCAGAAACTATTTTCTCTTTGATGAACACTTGTTCTCTATGGATTCCATAGGAGGGAAGACCCCAAGTGCTAGAGATGCTGCAGGTGTTTCTTCACCCAAAGTAGTAAGGGCTAGTACAAGAGAAGTAAATACATGACACAAAGCAAGGTACTCTACACTATGTTCATTTAAAAGGAAAAGGGGCAGCTGGGTGGTGTATGTCCCTGTGATTCTAGATCTGGGAGGCTGACACAAGAGGATCATGAATTTGAGGTCAGCCTGGGTTACATACTGAGATGCTATCTAAAAAACAACAGAAACAAGAAAACCAAAGGAATGTGACACTGCAGAGCTATAATAGGGAACATTAACTGACAGCAATAGCAGTTACGTACACCTTATAAGATATCAAAAGGGGGGCTGGAGAGATGGCTCAGTGGTTAAGAACACAACGTTCTTGCAGAAGACCCGGGTTCAAATCCCAGCACCCACATGGCAGCTAACAACTGTCCTTAACTCCAGTTCCAGGGGATCCGGCAGCCTCTTCTGTCCTCCATGGGCATTGCACAACATAGGTGCACTTACCTACATGCAGGCAATACATGCATACACATTAAAAAAATATTTAAAAAAAAGATATCAGAAGGAATTCTAGAATTCCTTTAGACAGCAAAGTAGAACAAAAGGCTTAAGACAGAATCTGGTGGACCTTCTTGATCCTTGCCTAAGGCAGAATCAACACCGTGTACAATTCTTTGCTGCTCAGACTGATTTTCACCCAAGCCCATCCACAGTCTTGCTGCCTGTGCTGTCTGGTGCCATCTGGCCCATACTCTAAAGCCTACCAAACCTTTCTGATCCCACCTGAGGAGCAGACCCTGAAGAACAGATAGATGGGGAAGGTAGATTACTGAAGACAACGCCAGAACCTGCTTTTGGAAGAGAGGAAGAACCAAGATAAACTGCCTGGGTCAATGTAAGTCTGTCTTTCTAGAAGTATTTTATATGGAAAGAATGTTAAGTTCATCAATAAGTAAAGGAATAGTTCTGCTCGCTCTGGGGTACGGTAAGATGTACATAGCTCAAGAGAGTTGAAACTGACATTCCAGAGTGCAATTTTCAGGGGGGAGAGTTAGCATAAGAATGCCAAGGAAAGAATAATACGTCTGGCTGTGATTATGGAGAAGGAGGCAAGGGGCTGAGTTGTTCACCATGAAACAAAAACGACTTGCTGCTTCCTCAGATGAGAGGGATTCTTAGAGCTGTGTGAAGGCTAATAAGAAATGCTGGTGCCACCTTGAATCCCTCAGGTTGCCACAATGAAGACTCAACATCCTTTACATGAAGGATATACAAGAAGAATGAATGACCTGGAGAGGTTGAGCTGGATTAGTGATGACCTTGAACATCCTGGAAACAAAAAGGCAGGATGACTTAGTGATTGAGGAAGCTGTTCTGAGAGGTGTGACTGGCAGGCAGGGTAGCAGGCAGGGAGTTCAGTTGGGATACTGCCTTTAGGACCAGTGTATCTGGTAGCTGGGCTGGTGGGTCCAAAGATCTGGGAGGGACCATGACTGAATTGGTGTACAACTATGGCGGGCTTAGGGCCACCCACTCCTGTGAGGAGGGCAGGAGAGGAAAGAGACCTCCACAAGGTCTTCTTTCATTTTGGGCCTTTGTTCCAAGGTCAGCTTACACAAGCTTGTAGAAAGTTGGCTTAGGGAGTCTACTAAATCTCATACTCTATTATGATAAATGATATACTTGGATCCAGGAAGACTTGACATGAATGGGAAGTAGAAACCAGTCAGTTGCTGAGGTGTAACTGTTAAGTCTATTCTCCAGCTCAGTGAGAATTCTGCCATTTGTCAGGCCTCTCTGAGGTGGGAACACAAGGCTTTACTAGGTGACTGTGGAAACTCTGGCCCTGGAAGGAAGCAGTGTGCATCCCCTATCAGGAAAGTGCAGTTGCCAGGCTGGCCTGAGGAGGGCACTCTCATCCTGCTCAGAGTCTACCTTTCTAGTGATGTTCCTGCTGTTTTCAGTGTATATTATTTCCTGGGAATGTTGGCTAAGAGCCACTGTCTGTCCCCCCGCCCAGCAGTATTGGGGACAGAACTCAGGGTCTTGTACATGTCAGGCAAATGCTCTATCACTGACCCACACCCCTAATCCTGGCTTATTTTTGGAGAGTAATTTCAGCATTTTAAATCAAGAGGTGACATGGACAATTAGACATGACAGAGAAAAGGTGGCAGAGGTTACTTACAGGTCCCCTTTCTTATGCAGTTTATATTATGAACACGCTTGCCAAGTTTTACACAGAGAAAAATGCCAAAGAACTGAATTGTTTGTTCTAAGTTTATATAAAGTACAGACTCAAGCTGCCTGTTTTTCTAAGTTCTACTGCTAAAAGGTCCTATGAAATGACACTATTGGTAACTAGAAAGTGTCATTTACCTAGAGTTTTCTACATGGTGACTTGTGTATCCGTTGCTCTCCAGGTGCATGAAAATGTGTGGTTAGTCTTTTGCTCATGATTCTATTACCTTTCCATGCCTATAACTGATGATATTTCCTAGGCCCTTCTGAATGTGGCCTGACTATCTTCCTGCTAGAGCTGAGGGTATTATCGAACTTTGAATGCTATTCTGGAAGAGAGTGCTGCATTATGTAGGCAATGCAACAAGACTTAATCTTGACATAAAGTGCAAATTTCAGTTTTTAATATCACTTCTTATTTGAATTCTGTTTTCAGTCAATTGTGAAAAGGGGTCATGGAAAAACCACATCTGATGTAGTTAGCCAAGCAGGCATCTCTTAAGGGTACCACTGAAGCCCTTTCCAGAATACTACACAACAGAACTTTGAAAATCTAAGGGGTTCCCTCTCCATACCTCATAAATACATTTACTGCAGGAGGGAAAATAGATAAAAACAGAAATGAAGCTACGGTGTGACTGCTGACAACTCAAAGAACAGTGAAATGGGAAGTCACAGTGGGAAAGCCAGCCCACAGAGGGCTACCCTGGCCTTTGATACTTCAATTACACCCGCAGAAGACAGACTGGTATCACATTATCGACTAGTCAGAGACCATGCTGCTACGTATGCGTGGCTGGCCTCAGGAAGTTCAAGAAAAGCAAGCCCTAGTCAGGGTAGCACTGATGCAGAACTCAGAACCATGTGTCAAGGTTAGCATGTCAGCAGCTGTGCTTTGTACCCTGCACCTGCCAACATACCTTCCCTGTGGCAACATAATTTAGGCTCATAACCCACTAATTTATCTTGAATTCTGTTGACAAATACTAGAAAAAGGAGGATATATTTATACTCTGATACTTGTTCACATATTTGTGTTCAGTATATCTTAAAAAGACTTGGATTAAAAAGTAGTTTTTCTCCTAGTGTTTCTCACACTTAAAGTGTAAAATAGGAGAGCTGTTTCCCAGAAGGACCAGGACCTGAAAGTTCTGAAAAGCTGTTATTTTCCTTTAGGATGCCCTTGAATTTGGTAATAAGACAGTTCATCTTTGTATGTCTATATCAGGAAAGAGGGCAGCACTTCACTATCCTGTGGTGTAAATCTCAAACACCAAAGCAGTGATGTCCAATCAAGGCAGAAATGTCAAAGCTGAAGGCACCTAATGAAAAACAGTACATCACCCACCTAGCTTACCTGTCGACGGATTATTTCAAGGTCTCTTTTCGCTTTATTCACTAGGGCTTGAATTTCTACAGGATCCTTTACATTCTTATTTTCTCGGAAGGCATCTCTTATCCTCCTGACAGCATACATTCTAAATGAATTCAGAGAAAAATAAAAGACGTCAGTAGGTCCGAGGCTCTGCTTTAAATGAATTTAAAATTTTTTTTTCTAGAATTTACTGTTGAATATTCCCCTATGGATAACCCACTTTGATCTTTATTTGTGAGACAGGCCAATCCATTACTATTCTGGGATAACTAAGCAAACAGACTTAAAAAAAGAAATCTATTTCAGACAAGTCACATACAAATGGCAAAAAATCCCACTGCCAAAATGTTCCTCCAATGGCTGGTTCTTTAGAGTTATGCATGTCTAGTTTCCCTCCATTAGCATACATCATTGAAGCTTTACAGAACAGAGACGAATCAGGAATTCAGAAGCCAATGATGCATCTCATTTGCATGTACCAAGACAGTGGTCAGTGTTCCACTCTCTGTCACCTTTGGCTCTTTCCTTTCTGTAGCATAATTATGTAAGGCTGAGGTTCACAACAGGATCCTACTGCAGAATAAAGTATGGCATTATGTAAATGCTTTCCTCCACCTCCGAAGGCCAACAGTCGCATGCACACATGCACAGTGTCCGCTTCCCTGATGAGACAGAGGGCACTAGCAATACAGGGAGGCAGTTCAAGGACAAAGCTTTCATTTTCTTCTTATCAGTCAGGCTTGGCTGTGAGGGCAATCTGGCTGTGACATCTGTCACTCCATTGAACTATAGGGTTGGCTTGGCTGCTCTGTCTGGTGAGGCAGGTATTGTCTTCCTCCCTCACCTTTTCATGTACATCCTTCCTGATGTTGTGCTCTTGGTCCAAGAGGTCATGATCTCTTTTTGGACAAAGGTATGCAAGTAGCTATGCTCCCCTGATAGAACCTCCAAAAAACCTCTTAACTCAGTGAGGCTTGGGCTTGTCTCCTTGCTCAGGCTCCCGCTGTTTGTGTGAACTTGGGCAAGATTCTTAATAGAAGGCCAGGTTCTTCATCTGTCAAAGACCCGTATTACTATTCAGAGAGGTGAGGAGGCTGAGGCTTTATTATAGGACTCTGGCACAAAGCCTGGTACTTAAGACATTCAATGCTATTCTATTAATATTCTTACACTTTAATGTGAGCAGTACACATTACAGTCTCACCTCTGTCCTGTGACATCCCAGGATCATACCACAGTGTGTGTACAAAGGAGAGAGTGGTCTGGAAATTGGCCAAAGTGAAGAATCAAGCATCCTTAACCAGACATGTTCCTACATTTAGACAGCCATGATTGAACAACATGTCATTTCCCTCTACTCCAGTCTGGTAGACAAGGTGCTAGAGTTGGGCATGTGGGACACAGTTTCCTGAGTCTTTTTAATAATCCCAGATTCTCTACTTTTAAACTTTAACAAGCTAAAGAATTCAGGAGGTACTACCAGCAACATTTAGAAATGAGAATGGAAATAGAAGCAAAGAAAGGAGGAAGAAAGACTGTCAGTATCCTTGAAGGTGGAAGGCATGGTGTTGGAAGATACATACACACCAGGATATCTTATTTAATAAGTACAAATCATACACAATACATGTACTAAGACAGAGTGCCATTTTGGATCTAGATAAACATTTCTAAAACAAAAAGAACTTTTGCATTAAAATGCATTTACTGATGTAACTTTTGTTGTTCTGAGACATGACCTAATGTAGATCAGGTGGATCTCAGGCTGTCTTGAAGCTTAAAGTTTGGTACCCTCTGCTGCCAGCTCCGAAGGGGCTGGGGTTACAGGTCTATGCTCCTCCACCACCTTATTTTAGGCAGTGCTGGAGATTGAAGTCAAGGCCTCTGTTATACTAGGCTGGCCTACTACCCACTAAGCTATATCCCCATCCTTCTAAACTCATTGCAGGAACTACAAAGGAAAAAGGGGGACTTTAGGAGCTTATACCTTTGGAATGTCAAAAACACTATGTGGTGCCTTGAGAACCAGCTGGGGACCTGTAGAGGGCTTCTGAGTGTTAAGCATCAACATCAGGGCTGCAATGATTGAAAGGAATCTTTGTATGGGAACACTAGAAGCCCGAGTTTGTAAAGGAATATAGAAAAGATTATATCAGATACAGATGCTTTTCATATGCAGCTCCCAATTGAATGAGATTTTATTTTACTTATTAAAAAATTTCTTTGTGCTGGGTGTGGTGGCACATGCCTTTAATCCCAGTACTCAGGAGGCAGAGGCAGGCAGATCTAGTTATGAATGGTTGTTAGCTGCTATGTGGGTGCTAGAAACTGAACGTGGGTCTTCTGCAAGAGCAACCAGTGCTCTGAGGGAGGCTCTGAGCCATCTCTCCAGTCCCCACTTTTTTTAAAGGCTGTGGTTTGTGTTGTTCTGTGGGGCAACTCACTGACCTTTAAATCCCAGCACATGGGAGCCAGAGGGAAGCAGATCTCTGAGTTCAAGTCCAGCCTGGTCTACATAGTGAGTTCCAGGACAGCTGGGGCTAAAAAGACCAAAAAAAAAAAAAACAACCCAAAAAACCAAAAAAACCCAAAAATTTCTTTGTGTGTATGTGGGTGGGTGCATACCTGCCACAGCTTGCCTGTGGTCAGAGAACAACTTGTGGGGATTGGTCCTCCCCTTCCACCATGTGGAGCCCACAGATCACTCAAGTCATCAAGGCCTGGCAGCATGTACCTTTACTTGCTGGGCCATCTCTTTAGGCCATCATCTAGATTTAGATGGCAGCTAGGTAAGAGAGCTCACAGTCATTTCAGGAGCTTTCTTGCACAGGACAATGGTTATTTATATGACATGGTTTCTCTGTTCTTCATCACACAAAGCACCTTATTTTTAATTGTGACAGGAATAGAGAAGGGGCAGAAAGATATTTTCTTCTTGTAGACCAGCCTGGCCTTGAACTCACAGAGATCTGCCTGCTTCTGCTGGGATTAAAGGGGTGTACTACCATGCCTGGTCTAATCCTAATATTTTAATCTATATGCAAAACTGATTTTATAATAATAATTGACCTCCAGGAATTATTTTTTTTCTTGTGGTGCTGGGGCCCTAAACCATGGAGGGCATGTAGTCTGCCACTGAGCTCTGTCAAACCCTTCATCCATTGGTTTAATTCTTCCTTCAGGATGTAGCATGAGTTTCCAGAAGAACAACACAGGCTGCAGTAGCCACCAATACTAAGTATTTTTTTTTTTTTCCAGAAACGCATTAGTCCAGACTATCTTAAAAAAAAAAAAAAATCATATGGGATGGAAAAAAAACCTTGTCCTTTCAAAGTTTAAGAGTTTAAGAAAACCAGAGAGTAGCTTAAGACTCTTACAATTTAGACCAATTGAGCTCAAGGTTCAGTCCAGAATGTTCTACTCTAACCTTTTTCATCCTTAGTTCTCTGAAGTTCTTACTTAAATGTGATCTAGATCTTGAGATAAAAGATAGAAAAAGCTGGCAGGCAAGATGGCTCAGTGGGTAAAGGTTCCTGCCTTTCTATTCTACAACCTGAGTTCAATCCCTGGAACCCATGTATAGATGGAAGAAGTGAACTGATTCCATGAAGTTGTCCTCTGACCTCTACACATGAACCATGGAATGCCTGCCTGTCCTGTCCCTGACATCAAAGATGTCAAAAGCAACCAAAAGTTCCACTTCAATTTCCAGGCATATCTTTTTTCAGAAAAAATTTATTATTTTTATTTTATGTGCATGACAGCTATGTCTGCATATATGTAAATGTACACATATCATGCAGTGCCTGTAGAGGACATTGGATCCTCTGGAACTGGAGTTATGGATGATTGTTAGCCACCATGTGGGTGCTGGGAATCAAACCTGAGTCCTCTGTTAGAGCAGCCAGTGCTCTTAACTGCACAGTCATCTCTCCAGTTCCATTCCAAACATATCTTTGAAATGATGATGCAATGGTACACTCCTTTTTTCTATTCCTCCCTTTCTTGAACCACTTAACACACAGGGTGCTGTTGGCCTTAAGAGAAGACACTTCACTGGCCCAGAACCACAGAGATGTTTCTGCAGGAGCAGTTTCTTTCTCAGTTGTGTGACTTTATTTCAAACCATGAATTTTGGGGATGGTAAACACAATGCAGATGATTCTTCACATTTTGTGGGAGGGCATACTACCAGTTATTTTAATCTTGCCCCACCTTTCTCTTACCCCCTACCTCAAGGGAAAACATTTATCACTCAACACATTCTGATCAACTTCTTGCCTATATTACCAAGAACAATTCAAAGAAAAATGTGTAGCTACTGTAAGGAAAACGGCAGCCAACTGCTACGTAATTTTTTGTGTCCTCAAAGTGAGGTCCTCAAAGTGAGATGCTGTTTGAAATTAGGTATAAAACACACCAAACTCATAATGTACACACGCAATGTTTATTGTTCACGAATTATAGCATGCTCAAGACCACAATGCAGAATCATCTGGGAAGAGAGTCTCAATGAGATGAGGCTGACTTGTCGGCATGTCTGTGGGGGATTGTCTTGACTGTTAAGTGAGATGGAATGGAAGACCCATCCTGAATGTGTGAAGCATCATTCCATGGGCTGGGCCCTGGGCTGTATGGAAGAAGATAGCTAGCCGGGTGCACAAAAACAAGGATGTGTTAATTTCCTTTGTTCTTCACAGTGGATGTGACGTGACTGATTGCTTGAGTTCCTGCCTTGACATCCCCTCAATAATGAAATTGTAAGCTAAATAAACCCTTTCCTTCCTTCAGTTGATTTTGTTAGGATTATTTGTCACAACAACAGAAATGAAACCAGAACACCCTCCAATTAGTTTTAACTGAAGTGTGTCTTACTCCTCAGGACAGTGCTTCCTTCACAGTCATTAGGAGGCAGCTGCTGAATTCCAGTATGCTCCCCCAGCATACTGGGGTGGGGTGGTGGTAGTAGGGGTTCTTAAATCTTGCTGCTGTGTCTGGATCAGTAGTTTACCTTTTTGTTATCTGAGATCATGCCATTTGACTACATGTTATAGGCTTCTGTGGCATGGTTATCTGTTTACTTCTGGGGGTCAAGTCTCAAGA